ATGCGGTAAAGGAAGTAAGAAACCGGTGCAACGAGCGAAACTTGCGGAGAAGAAGATCCACAGATGTTACAACTGTGAATCTCTTCTTTTCTTCGCGAAGCCTGAAAACATCGGAAGGTGCAGCATGCTCGCTTTTACTTTCCGCATTTTAGATGTGTACAATTCAGCAGCCGGCAGCTGTTGCAAACAGAGACCGAGCAGTTCACCTCAAGATGTCCGGCGTGCTTAGGAAACTTTCGTAAACAGTTGAGTTGACGAATCACTGCTAGATCACTGCGCTAGGAAAATAAGTTAAGCAGCTAGAATGAGTTCGCCGTTTATCTTTCTATCTCCTTTAGGTTTATTAAACCAGTTATATTGTTTTATTTTCGGATGTTCTAAAGAACGAAGAGTACTATACATAGACTCGATTGCTTAGGAGAGATACAAAACGAAGAGCTTATCATAATTCTACCATCTGCTTTGTGCGCACAAGAAAGCAATTTATTGTTTCTCAAGAGCAAAAGAACATTGACGAATACGAAAAAGTTCAGGGGAAGTGTCCCGTTTTTGCATGTTTACATTCTTCTGTAGCATTCTGAACCGCGTACCTAGCTACAACACAATCATGATGATTCTGTCAAAGTCACACTTCGGATATTTCGGTACAAAAGTTTGTTTGCAATGCGAACAGAGTTTTTAAGTAAGGCATTCAGGAAAGCTCCGATGTTAATCCTTTCTATATTATGAGTGATGACATATACCTTTTTTTTGACGGTTGCAGATGTATTCCCGGATTGCTTTGCAGAGGAGGTGCTTGTGCCTTTTACATAAGTTTCACGAAGCAGAAGAAACACAGAGAGATGTTGACAGTACGTCAGCTCTCAAATTGTCTGCACATCTGTCGTGGCTGGTGACCGTTAAAGCGATAGAAATAGTCAAGGTATGCTTTTTTGAAATTGAAATCTCTAAGATGTCAGTCACCGTCAAATTGTTCACCTCAATACATAAAAGAAAACTAGTCGTGCAGAAAAATAGAGTGGTTCCTGCTATCCGCAGTATGCCCACTTCACAACATCAAATCATTTGGAATTATATCATTGTGTTCGCAAGCACACACTATACACAGCAAGCGAAATGGAAGGCTGGGCAACTTATGTGTTACAAAAGACTCCCAAGATAGGCATTTGCAATTCATTCGTTCGGTCAATCCTCTAATCATCCTTCTGGTAATCCTAATTTAGCATATACTAGAATTCAAAGGATGGCGCTGGTGCTCCACGTAGAAGAAGGAGTAGAGCGAAGCATGAAGATGCCTTGGCTATTACTCTGCAAATCTGGTGGGCTTCTACCGACTGATAACTTAGCAACTGCACAATTTTAGAACGCAGATGTAAAAGAAACAAAATGCTGGAAAGTCACGACAGGAAATCGCTCTGGGCCTACAAGGTATATTTAATAATCCTCGTAATGGTAGCAATGAAGCAGTATTGCTACTAGTCTTGTATTTGTCACACCCACACATTTTTCATTCAAATTCATTTGTCAAAGATGCTTATTATGCGCATGTCAAGTCAAGTGTAATTGTCACAAGTTACAGCAAGCCGGTGTGTCTTGCCCGACTCCCAATGCAGTTGCGACGTTGTGCGATATGATTTAAGCTGAATTCTTTTCATGTTTGAATTATCGCTCTTGCTCATCCCATGACTTGCTCCGTCTTCTTCGAAACCATTTTTCCCCGTCTTCTTCGAAACCAAAGAGGACGAAGAGACAATTCTGCCCTCAAACATAAAAACATGTCATGCGAAAGATCCGATAGCGCGATGGAAGTCGACACCGTCACAGCGCCACCACAAGTGAAAAAATGTCGTTCATTGGGCGTCCTGCGCGACAAAACAAACACTTCAAATTTGTCGACCACATCAACCAGAAAGGAAGAAGAAGACAAGAGACAGAGACAATTTAACATGTCGAAAAGCAGCTCGACTTCTTCCTAATCTCATGATGCTCACTAATGTTCAGCGATTGTCACACATGTTTCGTGAATCGAAACTTCTCCGATCCACCATCCAGTAGCGCAAAGGTTTCCAAGACATCCAACAGGACGGCATCAGCGTTTTAAATGAAGATGATTTGCTAGAAGTTTAAGTTAATGGAGAAGGAGGCCCAAACAAGTAGCTACAAGTGGCTGTTGCAACCTTCTGCTTTTCCTACCACTTCGTTAGAAAATGTGTGATACCAGCGAAGCGTAAGAGTGATCAAAAGCTTAGAATTGAAGCTCTCGAATGTAAAGAGATAAATCGAAAAAGAATGGGCAGTTTACCGTCATTAAGTGGTGCGCACTGCACATGTTTGCTCTCGTGTTTTCTCACATTTTTCAACGAAACCGGATATGCATGCTAATCTTTCGTTATCTTGTACCATGCATCTGTAGGTATCCTTTCGGAGCTTGACTCTTGATGGGTAATCATCCAGTTGCGTGAAACCCGGAGATCGCAAAACCGACAGCGAAGCTGCAATCACGATGTTATGTTTTGGACTACGAGAGAAGTGAGTAAGTCGCGAACCGAGGCCATACCTACATGCAGTACAAAAAATGCAATGTGTCGCCTCCCGTCGTATTAGTCATACAAGTGACGTTGGTCTCACTCTGCTCAAAACTATGCCGCACGAATTTACGATGACGGCATCAAGATTCTCGATGTTACGAACCTACAGAGACTGTTTTGTTAGGCGAAAGCATGTTCTCTTCATAGTCAAGACTTGTTTTGATTCTCACCTCTTTCCTGCTTCCTCACCACATCGTAGAGGGTATTTGGAGCTAACGCTGCGGTCAACATTGTTTTGTAATTTACATTGTTCCACATTCAAGTACTCTTTCCGTTGCCTACGTTAACTGTGGCAAACGATCTGGGCATCTGCGCCTATCTCTCTGTCAGATTTCTGACCTCTAGGAACTTAATCTTACTTGCGTTATGAGGGTTTGTATGCGACCGCATTCTTTGGCATTTATGTGCATTTTAGTTCGCGTTATATCGTAAACGTTTTGCAAATTTTCAGTAGTTTCAAATGCAGGTATTCGGGCAAAAACTCGATTTTAAGATTTTTTGCTTGTCCTAATCCTCATGCTAACTCCGAAACGCAGGAGGGAAACAGCAAGTGGGCGGGGTCCTCCCCACTGTGAATTCACGCTCCCAGCTTTCGAAGTGGCCTTCTCGATTCTGCTAGCCGTCCTGACATTGTCACCGGCCAAATGCGGGCGGCTGACCTTAAACCGGAAGCGAGAAGATCGCTCCGGAAGCTGGGAGCGTGAATTCGAGTGGGAAGGACCCTGCCCGCCTGCTGATTTCCTCCTGTGCTGGAGCCGTTTTTAGCCGTTTTTGCGCTCTCCAGTGTGCATTTTCGGATTCAGCATAGCAAATAGGCCCGGGTAAGCACAAAATCTCAAAATCGAGTTTTTGCCCGGACACTGCCTTCAAGGAGGTCTCACGTCAGCCAGATGTGAAGAAGAAAGCACAAGCAACTCTTGACGGTACGACATTTTCAAATTCTAGCACCGTTTGTATCGTGACAGTTACATAGCCTACGACAACTCAGCCAACTCTTTATGTGGTTTTTTTTGAAACGGAAATCAAAGTTTGCGAACAATATTGCAAGCTACATGGCGTGGCGGCTCTATTTTATGGAAACAAACATGATCACTACAGGTATATTTGCTTTGATATAAAAGCATATGGAAATGCTACATTACATTGAGCGAAACTATTCTGAAAAAGACGGGAGTGTTGTAATCGTCGGCACGCACATTACACCACATAAAACCAATTAGGTATGTCTCTGCTGAAGTTTGCAGTGTAAACAGCTACAGTACTTGGTCGAAAGGTTCAAATATTCGTATATATTTGAATATTCGTTCTATCTTATATCAAGTGTTTAAAAAGATGCCAAATACAAATAAGGAGGAAATGCCTGAAAGAATATTCTGCTCTTACATGAAATTGACCTGCACAAATAGAAAAATGCTGCGTGCTATCTGGAAAAGGCGACCACTACTCGGTGAAAAGATGCGAAGACGTCCTTCAACATGTTATTAAATCTTTCAATTAAGGAAAGAAAAGCAGATGCTTTTGTGTTTTTTTGCTAGGAAGCTTAGCGTGCAGGCTGATACTATGGGTTGTAGACTAAATCTCTTAACAACCAACTACTCAGGCCGTTCCTTTTTTCAAACGTCATTTTCGAACGCTAACTTAGCTTTAGAGACAGAAACCTTTTTCATACTCGAAATAAAGTGATACGCTTTATTGTCTATACTATATTTTGTTTCAAATCGTATGTAACTAACTATTCGAACAAAACTTTGAATATATTCGCGTTCGAAATTCGAAACTCGGAATTTTTCTTGAACAAAATTCGCAAACTTGAATAATCAAAAAACGGTGCTCTGAATAAAATCTGAAAACTCGAATTATGGGAGCTCGAGGTTTGAACGAATACTATTTGAATGTCTATTCGACATTATCGATATACGAAATTTCGAGTTTGGTGCAGAGCGCACATTGACTGAGACGCTTACGCCAGCAAGGTTTAGATTTTTCTTCAAGATATTGGAACAAATCATTTTATAATTATTTATCCAAGCGTCTAGCCATTCGAATAAATCGATTCAAATAAACCAGTAAAATATTTAGTCGAAATTCGATGGTTATGGTCAAGAACGAAAATTACGACGATTTCTAGAGTGGCTTTATGATTATGTACAGCACTGTATTGTAGGTAACCTTATTTCATCAAGTGTTGACTTTGAATAGAAGCAGCTGCAAATCTAAACGCTTGCCTATTCTATGCTCAGCCATGAGCATAAAATTGGCAAGCTTGTTGCTAGTCCGTCAGTCACAAGTGCATGCACTTCAGCGGATCACTTACCATCCATGAGGCAGTTATTGACATAAGGTTGACGTATTTTTAATCACTCAAGTCGGTTGTGAACAAACGGAATTTGTTATGTTTATTCCTTCATAAACAACCAGAACACCAAACAACCTCCTTGAAAGGAAATGAAGTCATGTGGTGAAGAGATGTCTGGCACGAATGAGAAGCTAAAATTTCACTACTATGTGATGAGTAGAGACCAGAAGACAGTGAATAATTCGTTGATACTGGTCACAAATGCCCGAACACTATGTACAAGTAAAGACACCTCGAGATCAAGTGCAACGAGGAGAAATTTGACGAGAAAATGAACCCATAGGAGGAGAATTTCTTTGTGATGAGAAAGTTAATCATATGACGGTCATTGTCATTCTTCTGGCACATCGTCATCGATGAACGGCCATGATAGTGCTTCCGTGAATGAAACGCTCCGAGTGGAGTTTGGTGTGCTAAAAGAAGAATAAATTCAAGGAAACATAAATTCAAATAAATTTGCGCTCCCTTTGAAAATTAGTAAATTACCCATTGCTGTTAACTAGAATCTGTAATAATTTAAGAGTTTCATTTTTCCATCTCACTTCTTTGAAAACTTTAGATATCCGCAATTTTTGAAGAACTTCCAAGTGAAATTTTTGGGGACTCATAAAATCTTGGCTGCTATAGATTTATAAAAATGAATGCTGGATTAATCGAAGTTTTCAAACACTTCTGTTCCATTCATCCTCCTCTTAGCCCTGTCGCTTTCACATACAAATTTTCTGTTCTCTTCGCAGATACCATTCTTCTTCAAAGCAAGTGACATGACTCACTTCTAACCGAGTTGAAATGGCCCTTTTGCGACTCACTAAAGTCAACGAATATGAATCAATCCCATGGGTGTGAACAGAAGTAGAGACTCGCAGCTTTTGCTTCAAAAAAAAAACTGCAGGAATTGTCAGCTATGGGTCATGTTGTGTATATATTCATAGATATGGTAAGCTAAATCAAAAACTGCGCAACTAAATAGCTTCATAAGGTTTACAAGGAAATGAAACGATTATTTTTACAGGTTGTAAAAGTCTAGGAATGCATTACTATTTAAGTTCCGAAGGTGAATTCAGGTACGTCTGTACAAGTACGGCTGTTGCATAAGTTCTGTCCGATTTGAATTTTTGAGTTTAAAATGTCATAACTTCTTTCAGAGTCAACTTTTTTCCAAGGTCTTAGTTTCTATGTGTTGAGCAGTCCCTTGGCTAAAAAATGCATATTGAGATCTGCGCAAATCTTTGTTAAGGAAGAACCAAGAATGCAAAAACTTCGCAGCGTTTTTCTTCGAATCTGTCTTTTTTGACATGGTAACGCTCCCTTATGAAAATTGATAGGCATCTTTTCTAATAATGGATGGATAGAGAAATTTTCGCAGATTATTATGCAACATAAAAGAGCCCATAGGGTTTGCGCTGCCGAGAGATTTTTTTGACCGAACAAAAAATTAGCCACTTTTTGACCTCGCTTCAGCACATGTGTGCATGCCTATTTATGAACTACGAACGTTTTACAACTGACGTGAGCGCCGAAAAGGAATTGGTGGATGGGCCCTGTTAGCTCTTGCTTTGCCCTAGCACCTCCAACTTTGAGCTTGTCGATTACTTCTATTCGCAGAAAGTTATTGCTTGTAAAACATCTATACCAAAGATTTATGTTCGAGGATAAATTTCACTAGCAAGACGTATTCTTCATGGGACCGAACTTCTGCATATACTAGCATTCCATACCCTTATTCCGAAGCCAATGAAAGAACCTGACTTGAAGGGCGCATTGTGGAGATATCCTCGCAAGGACATATTTCTAGGGATAGAACGTACCTCGGCCACTTAGAGATTTTAGGCCTGTGATCTCCGTACACTAAGAATTTTATTGAATTCTGGTATGCTTTAGAAAGCGCAAGGAAAGCACTTTTCAATGATACCAACCGTATCGAATTAGAGATGAAATTCTCTTAGAACAGCTGCTTCAAACATGAGGCAAAAAAATCGGACAGAACTTATGCAACAGCCTAGTATTTATTTTTGCATTTCTTTCCAATGCTTCAGTGTTTTTTATGTGAGCAATGCTTATAACCCATACGGTCGCGCTCGTATTTTCTAGCTATCTACATATTTCGTATTGATTTATGGCTCTGCTTTTTTATGATGTATAGGCTAGTAGATCTGACGCTTAATATACAGGGTGTCCCAAAAAAATGTTTCGAACGTTTGATCGTTAATATCTCTCTTCCCAAGAAGTCTTTTGCCTTGCTTCAGGTACCATTTTGTAGAGCTGGCTTCAACTTAGATTTCCATTATAGAACGAATCACCCATCTTTCTTCATTACTGTAGGGTTACGGTAGAAACTTCAAAGAGGGTTTTGAACCATGAAAGGCCATATTTTGCCTCAGAAAGGAAACAAAACAGCCTGAAAACTTTTACACCAGGCTAATTAGAATTGCTGATTATAACTGTAAAGTTCCCAACTTATTATGATGCTTCATTGAAGAGTTATGCCAGGTAAGAGGTAGCGGCCATTTTTTCAATGTCCCTAAAAAGTGCGGTTACACCGTTTAGAAACCTTCGTAATCTTGTGAATAGTATAAAAACCCTATTACATAAGTTATCACAATTTTTTGAAAAATTTTGAAACGGCAGCTTTTTCCACATTGACACCATATGTTTCAAGTTTCTACCGTAATCCTACAGCAATGAAAGAGATGAATGATTTGCTCTATAATGGAAATCTAAGTTGAAGCCAGCTCTACAAAACGGTACCTAAAGCAAGGCAAAAGACTTTTTGGGAAGAGAGATATTAACGATCAAACGTTCGAAACATTTTTTGGGACACCCTGTAGTGTCCTTGCGGTGCCAAAAATTGCCGACAATATATGCGCGTGAGCAATTACTCTTCACTGCAAGTAGACTATATTGAGGATCACATCGGTAGCCTACAAATATATTGAGATCTATAAGCTTTTACAAAAACTCTGAGGTTTGCTTTTGATTTTGTATTTGCTTCGCAATTTCGTAATTGCCTAAAATCTTGTTTGATTGCTCATCACCGTAAAGTTGCCAGAAACTCACTCCCTCCAACTATTAGATTTATATTTTTGCAGTATAAGTTGTTACCAACTCGCTCTTCACAATTCATAATTCTTAGCAATTAATTTGTATTAGGTCGTTCCGAAAGTAATGTCGCTTTTTTCAAACGTATGCCACATCTCGTGGAACAAAGATATGTAAAAGGTTCTGGTAGCATTTGATGCAGCATTTCATTCTCTTTCTAACGGTTATGAAGATGTTGCAATGCAGTTAATGAGCTTCCAGAAAAGAGCCAAAATCTGCAACCTATGCTTTTTAAGATGGCCAAGTTTCACAATTTTTCTAAAATTTTATAACAGACCTCAAAAGGAGTCCAAGTAATGGATGGATGGAGCAAACCCTACAGGAAACAGCACAACATTTTTCTACTTTTCAGAGCTCGTCATAATTTTTGTACTGATTTTTTGATGGAACCAACGAATTTTAGCAGGCTTATCTCAGACACAAGTGCATCAAACGCCAACAAGTCTTCGGATTTTGAAGCTTACAAAGATGGATTATGGTTTGGCAACAATTTTACAAACCAAACGAGCGTTCACCGCTTCGCTTTAGCAACTTTCGAAAATTTCGGGTACACCTTGGAGTGCCTTGGAAAAGTTGAATTACGATGATTTTATCCTGGAAAACGATGAATCGGAAACAAAAAACAACCGCTAGAAAGAGGAGAAAAAGCTGCATCGAATGACACCCGAGTCGCTTGCCTGTTGTTGTTCTGTGAGGTTTGACTTGACTAAATATGGAAGTTGATGGCATTGAAAAATTGATTCCAGAAACCATAAGAAGCAAGATAAGGAAAAGAAAAAATTGTTCTCTGTCCTATAGGGTTTGCTCTATCTAACAGTCACTTGTACTTCTTCGAAGAATAGGTACAAAAATTTAGAAAAATAGCTGAACTTGACCATGGCAAAAAGCATGGGTCACAGATTTTGTTAATTTTTCGACAGCTCAAAGAAAATTATGCAATGAAATTACAACCATTGGAAAGAGGATGAAATGCTGCATCGAATGCTCCTAAGATCTCTTGAAAATGTTAATTCCACGAATAGTGGCGTTCATTCGAAAAAAGCGACATTACTTTCGGAACGACCTAATATTTTTAGGTTCAGTCATATTTTGCTAGTCACTTACATCAACCTTTTATTTTATGAGCACAGACCTCACTATAAATTTTTCCAAAAAAGAAGTTGTTTTATTTCCTTACTGATCAATTCAATAACCTAATTTTGTTAAATACTCGTTCAAGTCCCTGAATCGACCTCGAAGAATTTGGCATAGAAGTGCATTTAGCAGAGGCAGTTTTCATATCGCTCTTAGTGTAGGACCAAAAATTTCAAAAATCCTTGTTTATTGAGCTGTAGTCAACTATATCACAAATGAATATTCATACAGCTTCCCATCAAAACCTGAGCGTTTACCAAGCTTATCAAGCTAACGAAGTTCGGTTGTCTGTGTATGGAGAATTATGCGTAGCAATTATTGCCGCATGAAATTTTTGGTCTCTTGTTTAATAACTAGGGCGGAAATTCTTATCGGAAAAACGCTGTGAATAAACTCTGATCGCCAAAACTGCTGGTGAGCTGAGATAGACTTTGATCAGAATGTGGGCGAGAGTTGTGTATTCTATGAATGTTCCACAATGTCCATTGAATCCTCGATGACTGCACAAGCCGCAAATGTTTTAATCAGATTTTATAAGCAGATGCTTGTGGGAAAAAGTGAAAAAATAGCCTTCGAGTACCTCAGTGCCCATCTTCCACACGTCTTCGTTCTCAAGGCGGATCCATCAAATTTGCAGCATGATTTTTCTTCTCGCAATGACTTTCTTGTGATCTAATAACTTACGAGTCAAAGCTTTTTGAACACTGGGCAGGTTGTTTGAAAGCAACCATGCATTAACAGAGTGGAGAAGAACTTCATTGGCACAGCACTCTATTAGCAGCTCGAGGCAATGGTTATCAAATATGCAGAATTCACTTCTTTTGCATTTTACCTCTGCATTTGTGGGACTTGTTCATTGTGAACAAAGTTGAAAGTTTTTTGTTTGAAGATTTCGAAGTTTACCTTACTTCATAAATGCCAAAAATATCTGAGGGATGAATGGGGCAAGCAAACTTTTTGTTTCACGATTGACCACCGTAAACCTCTTAATGCTTCAGTAAAAGGTCTCGTGCTCTTTAGATCTTACCCTATAAGCAGTCAAAACATTGGCATAGAAACACTGCACTCGTAGCGACATTAGTCTGCGCTGCTTCCGCGCGATTAAAGCACTGGCATTGTGCGCGCAGAGATTGTGGAGTACGAGACAAAACAGACATGGTCCCGCCACGAAGTACCATAGCGATACGCAAAGTGATGTTAAACACTGCTAAGTGAACACACATCGTGTCGAATGGCACCAAATCCGATTGGGATGGAAATAGTCAAAACATGAATTCACAACTTTTTTTTTCACTTGAGGTTTAAATTCGAGAATACCATAGGCTACATATAAGTACATCTTTACTTCGCTGATTTTTTGTGTATCCACTTTGCTTTTTTGGCAGTTCGTGACGGGACCATGTCTGCCCTCTCTCGTTCTTCTCAGTCTTTCAACCCTTCGCGCGCATATCGATAGCGATCGATTCATGAGTTAAACTTATCTAAGGTTACCCAATCCTGGCTTGAGTGAAATCTATTAAAAAACAATACCGACAATTCTTACCTCAGATCGGAGCTATAGCCGTTTTTCTTCCTGAAGAATAGTTTCGTAGGTGAATGCCGTGATGAGCGCAAAAGTCTCCTAACAGAGTCGGCGATCTGATGACGGAAATTGCTGAAAAAAAAAAACATTTTTTCGTGAAAGAATAAAGCTACTGTTTCGCAACTGTGTCAATAACGGCATCCTTCACTTTAGAGACCCCTGTACTTTGCTATTTACCCAAAACGAAGCAAAATCTGGAATCAGAACTTTTGTTTCCGCTTTCATAGCAGTGCAAGCAAATCAGCAGCTTAGACCGGACAGCCACCCGCTTCGATGCACTCCCTCTGCTCGTTTACAAGTGAGTAGTCACAGATTTAGTCACAAACGAATGCTTTCTTGGAAGTGGAACAGTCCAAGCGGAAAAGCCACTCTCGGAAGCATAGCAAGTGCCCCGAAAGTAACAACCTTCCCCATATAAACAGGAATATTGCTGTTGTGAGGAGTGAACGGAAAGGATATCTCGATTTGCATAGTCTAATCAGTGTCATCTAGATAGAGCCGCGACTAATTAGCACCCGGCTTGAAGATGCGCCGATAGGCGTTAAGAGGCTGAAAATGACCTGATGCACCAAAGGCTAATTAGCTGTTGACGTATTCAGGGCAATGTGAGCTAAAATTTGACGATTTTTGAGAATCAGATGCATCTTAGAAACCCCCTTTCAAAGTTCAAGCTATAATTTTTCTTTCTTGCTCGCTTCTAGCTAATCGTCTCTCCATTGGAAAAGAGGGCAATAATAACTCAGTAACTGAGCCACTTCTCAAATTTCTGGGTAACTACGAAGCTAATTTCAGACTCGATAGTTCTTTCACTCTTATTGGAAATGTGCGAACTCAATAAAGTTGTTGTCAAGCGCGAATTTTCTCAGGAGGGTCAGTTTCTACTTGAAACATATACATTACATTCTTACTTACCTTTGTATATGTTGTGCTTGCTTATTTTTTGATAGATACTTTCATAAAGGTTACACAGAAACTGTGTCTCGTTGAATTCTAATTACCGTACTCTTCATGGACATTCTATACAACATCGTCGTGTACAACTAAGCCCCTAATTCGGGTAGAAAAGACGTCCTGAAGAAAGAAAGTGTCGGGACTCCGTAACTTTGTTCATATTGATTTTCAAAGATCGGGTTTTGATCTTTGGAAAGAAAATTCTACAAAGATCCGGAAAATCATAAAATGTTCAGAAATCACTTTCATGGGAAGGATTTTCATTGTATTACGCTGAAGAAAAGAGCTGCAAAATCGTCGCACTCCCATAATCTCTTAAACAGATTTTTTCGTATTTAATTCAAGTTTCATCAATTCCGGTTCGTTGTTGCTCTAAAAATACTACTAAGAAAAAGTCAAATCTATCAGATTGTGGCGATGCGACGGTTTCGCCACGATCATTCGGCCAATAAAAAACCCTTTCAATAAAAACTAATTTTTGGGAATATGGAGTCCGTCAGTTCCGTCATGATTGCTACGCCACAGGCCGTCTTTCCCACCTGAATGAGGAGCTCAGTTGTAGGGTGCCAAGCAAGTTTAAAATCGAATTTCTCTATAATGATTACCTGTTGGGCAATGATAGTTAAGCTTTTCCAATCACTTTCGCAAGTACATCCTGATTTGTCTGGACACTGCCTTTGGGGAAAGTCGTAGTTAAGATTGTGTTAACCTACCGAAGCATTTCTGTATAATTTTGCATAAATCTACCTTACCCTGAATATTGAAAGAAATGGAGGAATATACAGTTGAAGTGACGGTGTGTTATTTGAAGCGTACTATAGAACATACTATAGAGTGAAAATGCTGACTTCATACCTAATACATTCCTTGGCTGTCAAACCTTTTTTTTTCATAACGAAAATTGTTCTCGTTTTTGTAAAAGCGATTAGATGCATTTGGTGAAGAGAAAGAGGACCACTAAGCGGCTCTATGCCCAGTAAAATCGGACGAGTACTGAAAGGGCTCAAAGGGAAAAAAACTGAAATAGCGAATCAAGACAATGATTAAACGCATTTCCACGATCAAAGTGCATCTCTCCGAGTTAATCCTAATCATTTTTACAACAAAATTATAATTTTCCTAGGATTCTTTTGCAGATAGAAAAGGTAGAATTACGCACATCCTTAGCGCAATTTCAACGGGGAACTATCGGTCCCTCATCAGAGAAATCATTGTAAAGGATCATACCCGTTCAAGTTCACATTCCCAAACCGCTTCGCTTGAACTATGTCCCATTACTGTTTTTTCCAACTTACGGGGCATCGTGAAGTGAACTAGCCGCCTTTCTTCTTCTAGGCTATTCCTTATCTTTAAGTCTGTTCATACGATTTTACGAGGATGAACAGCATAGCATTCTCAGTGCGCTTCGATGCTCTTTAGAAACCAGTAACCGTTTTTCTTGAGTTTGCCCATAACTACGGAGAATACCGAATGGAAAAGTGTCAGCGAAAAAATTGAAAGAAAAGAAGCAATTGCTGCTTTTTTCGAACAAATTCTCTTTTTTCATACAAATTACGGGCGAAAAATTTTGGTGAAAATGATTATTGCGTTCATCGTCAAAGTGGCTAGCAAAACTTTTCATTAGAGTGCGCTAATAAAAGTGAAGTCCAACTCTTTTTGCAGCTCTAGAAAGGGTAAAGAATCTCATAAACCATACGCAAATGAAGCATGTCATTTGCAGGAAATACAACTCATTTTTGCTCACCTGAAAAGGGCAGAAAAAAGTCTCGAACAAAGAAAGTACATTTTAATGCTTTGTGCACTTTGGCTCGAACTCATTTTCGCTCGATTTGGCTGGCTGTTGAAGTTGGGGTGGAGGGAAGAGGGGGGGGGGGGGGTAGAAGATAGTTGCAGAGAATTGTGTTATATAAAATATCGAATATAGATATCAGAAGCCTTGCCTTGAATCTGAGTTAAGTGGACACTCGCAGTAAATCTCGTTTTATTGTCTAAAGAAGTTTTCGGGAGGTAGTAACAATTCGTATTGCCAGATATACCAAAGAAATTAACTTCTACATTCCATGAAATTTAGACTTGGTCTTGTTTTGCAGATTATTACCGTAATTGGAAAAATATAAAATTTTGATAAGAGTTTTTATGGCCCGTCCTCTTTACCAAATAGAAACCACATTATAATATACCAATTACCATCCTTTATCCATCACTTTGCCAGCTCTGGCCTCAGAGAAGTCCTTAAGACTTCTCTCTCTTCCAATTTTCCCGTTCATGAATTATTAGGCTGAATTCCGTATTTTCTTCATCATCACGCGCCATTTGAAAGAAATTTCCTACCTTTTTCAAATGATTTTTTGATGGGTTTTTCGAGTGCATTAGAAATCAAGTTCTGGCTCGCACTTGGTTTAATGAAGGTGAGAGAGCTTTATAACTAGATGAAGTGAAATAAGGAAAGAAATCTGCTAAGGAGTAACTCTTCAAGAAATAATAAGTAATTCCAAGAATAATATGATTTTGTCATCACCAGCGCCTCAAAAATTATACACGTATTGTCTCGGAGACTTTACTGCTCACATGGATATAGATCTTTTTGAACCATCTCTTGTAAAAGTTTTGATCTTCAAATTTGAACTCTCCAAAAAATATAGGGAGGGGGGGGGAGAGATCTGGGGAATTTTTCTTCCCATACGCTACTACCGTACTTTTGAATGGCCAATTCGAAATCCTTGTGACTTTAACCACTCTTTATATCTATGAACGTCTTTCCAAAAAACGCATTTGAAAGTCACATTCACTCGTTTCATTTCACCCAAGAAGATTGCAATTTATTGTGATGTACTTTTATGTTAGAAATGTCTATTTCATTAGAACCATTTGATCGGTTGAAATAAACTGGAGGCAAAACTGGTTTCATGTAAAGAATTCTTGTAAGCAAAATATTATATACAGGAAGCAATTGTTCGCAAACTTATTGTTCATGCACATACTTTCTTGTAAAGGATGCACATCGTAGAGCTCATAAAATTTTTCTTGCAAGACTTCGTTCAGAACATCAATTCCATGTCTGAGAAGCACAAAAGCAGTGATGACCGTTAACTGTTAAGTATGTGCTTTTCGTGTCAAATAAAAGATCTCGCGCGAGGAGTGACTTTATGGGATGCGAAGGCGTTCAAAATTCTTGTGATTCAACTCCGGTGGATGCTCACTTTTTTCCCTAAAAGAATGTTCTCTAGAGACATAACGTTCTTGACCAACAACTTCGAGCAAAGGGCTCAAGCGGATCATTAATACTGCGTGGGACTTAGTCTATAAATACTAAGTCTTCCTTCCTTACTGAGGAGTTCCGGGGAAGAATCAGACATCAAGTCATACTCTGTCTAAGGAATAACGATCGGAGTGAAAAGTAACGCATATAGTTTTCTCTTTTATTAGTGTTTTAATTTTTTTGCTTGTATTGAACTTAGCGCCCAATCTATAGCAGATTCAAAAGTACGAAACATTTGATTGCATTAGCATCACTAACTCAGCGAAGAGGAAATCGTGAGAAGTCGAAGTTTACTTAATTGGGTTTTACTAGCTTTGCATAAAAAAATCATTAAAAGTATCCAAAAGTTAGCTGAAGAAGCCCAAGCGTTTGACTTCATGTTCGCAAGAAAGCATATGCGCAATCACCAATGATTCAGAGCTATCAGAGTTGGAGCTTGAGGGACTGAGAGTTACTCAAGCTCTACATTATCTCCAGTATTATATATATATAATACTATGTTTCTGCTATGATAAATATGTTAAGTTGAAACTTGGAGATTGCATTCATAACTGGTGGTTCAGTCACAGTAATCCTTTTTATAACATGAAAAAAATTCGCTTCTACTTTTTGTATTTTTGTCGGAGAATAGCACAAAGAAATCTAAATCACAACTTTAGAGACATCCAATCAATACGAGTCAATCTTAGTTAGAAGGAATAATTCATAAGATTCCTGGACCTTTTGGTGCTAGTGACCAAAATCCAAGAAAATTTAACTTGAATATTTGTCCACATCTGGTTTTATTGCAGCAATATAACAACAAGAATTTTTGCTTTGAACGCTCTAGAAAGCGCATGTTCTCTCGTCTAACAAATGCTAT